TGAACGGTCACAGAATGAGTATGGAAGTGAACAAGACAAGAATACATAGGCCGCATGCGTGAACATCCCCATTAGGAAGGATAGGGGAGCTAAAACATTCTTGTTGCTGAAGGAGCGCTCATTATGAATAAACTTCGGGCTCCAGCTCGGACCCTATACGATTTTCCCCTTGCTTTTTTTCGACAAAAACGAATCCCAGCTTGTTGTTAATAGGCCTGCCGCCGACGTCTGAATCCACTCATTAGACACATTCTGAATCATTGAAGAAGAGTACCCCAAACACCATATTGCTCCATTTCGAGAAGTGAAAGGTCACATATACGGTCAAAGACGGCCTCTAAAAGTTGATGTAGATAAACTCGATTTCATTATTATGCCTAACACTTGACGTAGTCATGTATGTAATCAACTATTGTATGGTTCTGGCGGATCTACTCACAATACTATATTATTCCAAGGGAACTAGAATTGATAAGTCAAGATGTAATTTTTCCGCAAATGATTTCTGAAGCACCTCACAATTTATTAGATTAGTGATAGTAGGTCTGGTATTAGATTCACAAAGAGGTTTGCACTTTCGCAACAGCGCGACTTCTGCTTCTTTCCATGTTTCAGGTGCTTCCCCACGTAAGATAGATCAGTTAGAGACATATAAAGAAGAAACAATTCTTTTACACATTGTTTTTGAATGATCTGAGGTGCCATCAAATTTTCAAGTAGAGCAATGAAGAGGTTATAGAGTACGTTTGAATTACAAGGCGTGATGTCGAATTAGAGGACATTCGAACAAGAAGTATCCCAAGTTCGATGGCTATTTAGATGCCTGGAAGACGTGCTACCAAAATAAGCGGCGAGTGAGCGCTATGTTCACTCGAGTTACGCCTAATGCATACTCTAGAGGGCTAACTAATATAGCGTTGGAATGCATTCTCGCAGTTAAATGCTTCACTGTTTGCAAGGAACCTATAGATATGAAAATACTACGAAAAAAATCTTGTGCAACACAGTGTG